ACCGTGTGCTCCGCTCTGAGTGGGCTCCAGGCCAGGGGCAGAGGACAAGGGGCTGATTCACCGTGTCCCCCACCCGCCGGGCAAAACCCCTCTGCCAACGGCACTTGATTCCTGGTAATGAGCCGGATTCTCAGTCACAGCCCTGGCCTCTGTGATGCTCTCCCTGCTCTTCTGGGAACCCTTTTAAACTGTGCTAAGGAATTCCTGGCGAGAAACAAACCAACCCCGGAGACAAAGGGAGACCGGCGTTGGGCCCTGGAGCCTTGGCCTTGAACACGGCAAGGAGGGCAGCGTGCAGGAGGCAGGTAGAGGGGTGCGGGAGCTGGGGCCTGGCCTGGGGCCCAGCCTCCCAGGGCTCCCATTTGGTAGGGGGGAGGGACAGTGGGGACCCACCGGAGGTGAGGCTTTCATAAAGCACACTCCCTCCTAGTGGGTCCCTGGAGCATGGGGTGGGGGACTGTTAGGAATGCAGACTCCCAGGCTCCCCAGGACCTGCTGAGGCCGAATCTGCTCTTTAACAAGGCCCCTGGAGGAGGTGGCTGCACAAGGAGGTCCAAGCAGCCGGCTTTCCCACATGCGGGGTTGGGGAGGGCTGACAGGGCATCCCTGCTCCTTGGCACACGTGTGTGCGACACCCGGGCTGCTGGGAGTCTGGGCACCCGAGGGACACCTGGAGACACCTCCTGCTGCAGCCCGGCCCCTCTTCCCCAGGTGGCACCAGCCCGCACCTCAACTGGGGACATGGGCTGGATATTCTGAGGCCTTCCCAGAAACTGTGGGGCCCCTCTGCCAAGTCAGGAAAAGAGGGAGGGGAACACAGGAAAGATGTGCACACACACACACGTGCACGCAACACCAGTGACCAGTGACTTCACAACAGGCTCTGTAAGTCTGGCTGGAAGCCATAACACAGTGGGTTGGGAGAGTGGGGCAGGGGCCTCTCCCTGCCCACGCCAGCTCACCTCTTGGGCGCTTTTAGATGCTGGGTGACCGAGGACAGTGTTTTCCTTTCCACAGGGATCCTAAGGGATGGGCGTTCTGGACCCCATTTCAGTGGGGGACACTGAGGCCCGGAGAGCCCCAGAGGCTTGCCCGCATGGCACACTGGGCAGCAGGCACAGCCCGGATTCAAACCTAAGACTGTGACTCTGAGACCCTTGGCCTCTGCCCCACCTCCCTGTGAGTTAGAACTCACTTTCCCATCACCAAACATTAGGGTCAGAACACACCCGGAACGGCCACAGGGCCCCAATGAGGGGAGCAGACAGGTAACATCCAGGGGCAGCTCGGGGCCCATGGACCCCGGAGAAGAGGGGCCTCTGTGTCTCCAAGGGGAGGGGCCAGCTTGCGAGTGTGTCCAGGGGAGGGGGCAGCATCCGGACAGAGGCAGGGGGCCCCGGGAGGGCCAGCCCCAGAGCATGTCCTCCGTGGTCCCCGCTGGAGCCGGGCTGGCTGTCTGACGGCTCCCTCCTACCCTGCGTGGGTTGAGACCACGGCCTGGCTCACAGGGCACAGCATGGCCTTGGGCAGCCACGCTCACCTAGGGGAGCGGGTGTCAGCTGCAGCCCTGGCCGGCGGTTTCCCCAGCGTCGGCTGCTTGCACGTGATACACCATCACCCCTACGCCACCATGTCTGAACGATCCCACTTCATTTATTACCAAAATATCACACAATTCCAGTCACAGTTAACATACAGCGTTTAACACAAACCTGACACCTGGGGAAAGAAGTGTTCGGACAATCGAGTTGTTTGGAATTGTAAGTAACACCCCAAACTCTGTTATCACTCTGTGCTCCAAAAATACGCTTCGAGAACTTCGGGAACTGAATTAAAATGTCTACACGGCTATGAACAATTGTTTAATAAAACTTTTTCATGTTTCCATTACATGTAAATATATCAATTTGGCATCTCTATAAAAACTCTGAAAATGGTGCAAAAGTTTCATTCTCTCTGAGAAAGCCATTGACAGAAAATATTCACACTTCACTAAAATTTTGAAAAATGGTCTTCTTTCAAAGTTTCTTTATTCATCTGAAATCTTCTGGGTTTATCAAAATCTAGGTTTGCTTTTTCCTCCTAAAACACTGACGAACATTTATTCACAAGGATAAAAAGGCAAATGGGGAGATATGGAGAATTGAGAAGGGCTCTTTTTTTATCCCCCCAAAATAATAATAATTTAAAAAAGCTAGTTACATAAGCATTCTCCAAAGAACACAATGGGATTCATTTTATCATTGACTTTTGGACAGCAGGGTCATCCTTTATTGAAAACAAACCCATGTAAAAACAAAGATGAAAAATGGTAGCTGAAAATAAATTATTTCATATAAAACAAATCAATAACTTAAAAACACACTCATATACAAAATGTCTTATTACCATCAACTGTACAACACGGGAACCAGCTGGTAAAGCGCCCCCTGGCCCCCCCAAGAGCGAGTCACTGTGAACGGAACGTTGCGAGCAGAGGCCAGTGTTCTCTTCCAGTGGGACTGGGACACGGTTCTGTAAAGCCACGTGTAAGCCACAGGTCGGCCTGCCCGGGGGCCTTGCTCGGACTTACAAGCCATTTTGTATTTTTAATGACCAAGCGGGAGACTGAACTACAGCGCCGGGAGGTCGGGGAAAACCGCCGCGCAGTCCTCAGAAGTCAGAGGCAAATCAAGGGCTAGGAGGTGGGACCCGGAGGCTCGGGGGCAGGCTCCGGAAGTGTCCACCCTCGATGACACTCGGCAGACAGCACTGAGGCTGCTTTGGGGGCCGGGCTTGGGGCCTGAGGGACAGGCAGTGTTCCCTGAGGGGCGGCCTCGGGTCCCAGGGGAAGGGAAGAATTCCCTGGGGGTGGCTGGGGGTGGAGCAGGGCGGGGGCCCTCGGTAGCTCACCCTTATTCTCCTCGTATCCAACTCAGAAAGGCTGCAAAAAGCAGAGAGAAGTAAGATCGGGCTGCATCAGACATGAAGGGAATGGGTCAGCAGGGTGACTTGACTTTGACATTCAAGTCTGACAGCAGACCGGGGTCAGCCAGCCAGTCAGCGGCCCTAGTTTGGAGGCAAACCAGAGTGAGTTATTGCCAGTAACTGTCTGGGTTCACCTACCTGTCTGACCCTGCAGGGAGGCCCTGGCTGCCAGCTCAGAGGCGCCGGCCCCCTTGGGCACGAGGTTCAGGCCCTCGGCGTGGGTTTTCCAGCGGTGACACCAAGGGCAGACTCTCAAAGGCTAAGGTGGCCGCCCCTGGCAAGGGAAAGACTCACCTTTGGGGACAAGGAAGGCAGAACCCACCCTGGCCCATCTGCCCCTGGCCAGGGAGGCCTGGCTTGCAGCGGTTCAGGTGCGATGGTGCAGACGGGGGCTCCCCGGTCCCAGGCTGAGCGGCAGGAGGCACAGCCAGCACAGAGCCCCCCGGGGCGGCAGCCACACGGAAGAGCTAAGGAAGGGCGGAGCCGGGGCGTCAGGAAAGGGTTCCCCGACTGCTTAGCTGAGGGCCAGGCAAGTCACACAGGCCAGAAGGGAATTCCGCCAAAGCCTCTTTGGTATTTATCCACCAAACCAGACTTTCAACACATTATCCACTCTGAATTCTTTTTCACCCAAATTTCCAAAGAAAAAGAGAGCACTCATTTCACAATTACAGATACGACTGACCCAGGTAAAAAAAGTGATTTTTGAACAATTTCTTTGGGATTGTGGCTTTTAAAAAAGGGGATCTTCCTTTTGCAAACAAGCCTACGGAAGATGTAAGGAGCCAGCACCTGGCCTGGCGGACGGAGAGCGACAAGTCAGAAGCAGATTCCTTCCGCTGCGGGCGAATGACAAAACAACCCTCCTAAGGGAACACCTCGGGGTTTTAGCTGGAGGCTGTTCCAAACACAGAGACCACCGAAAATGAGGATTTTACTGATCTGAGGAACTCCAGGCAGCCTCGAAAGGTTCCCGGCACTTCACACTTGCTTCCGCACCAGCCTCAGAGCAAACAGCCCGGCGCGAAGTAAAGGCCGGGAGGACGGAGGCGCGGCGCCGGCGTGAGCCCTCCACACCTCACAGCGCATGCTCCCGATTTCTCAAAGAAACGACGGAGGGCTGGCAGGACGGTGCCAAGCAGGAGACTTAGGGGGCACGTTTGGAACCGGGAACCTGTGCTCCGCTGGGAAGGCGGCGGCCCCAGACCAGCACAGCCGGAAAGGCATACTTGCACAGGAAGGCACCCCGTCCCAGTGAACGGTGCCCTGGGGTGGACCCGGGGGCACCTCACTGTGCCGAATCCGGTAAGACGGGCCTTGGTTCTGGTACCCAGCAGGAGGCTGGCAGCTGGCTCTGACTTGGGATCCAGAAACTTCCGTGGGAGGGAGGCGGTCCCTCCACGGCACCTGGCTGACTTAAAGGACGAGGCCTCAAGGTATGGACTTGGCCTTTTGTGGGAAAAGGCGATGGCAAGACCTGACATTTGGGAGGATAATGCGGGCAGCCGCAGCCCCTCCGTGAGGTAGGAGGGAAACGGGAAGGGCAGCTGCCAATGACCCAACAGCTGCTCAGGACCAGGCCTGTTCTGGGCGCGGCTGTGCCTAACGGCCCGTTCTCCACTTAAGTAAATAAGTAGATAGGCAGGTAGGTAGATAATGCCACAATTCCATGATACCGTAATTAAAAAACAGCCCACCGTTACACATATCGGTCGCATGTCAAGGCGAGGAACTGCTGGTACTAAGCTGTCCTGTTCTGACACTCTGTTCACTCGTCATTCATAAAAACGAGACCGCGCTGCCAAGGCCCTGCCTGCGTCTCAGGCCCGCTCGCGCGCTCCCCCCTGCTGGGTCCCTTTTTCAAAAACACCACCTGTGACTGCATGTCCCTAACATCACAGATTTGGAAATACTTTGTTTTGAGGCAAGTATTTGTTTCTTAAGATCTTAACGTAAACGCGCCCTGAAGGCTGACCATCTGTGCCTTACCTAGCCAAAAAGAAAGAAAAGGTAAAATAAAAAACAAAACAAAATTTGAGCAAAACAAAATCAAATTTAATGGTCTTAAATGCAAAAGTAAAAACAAACAAAAAACACAAAAAAGCGAAAGAAAATTAACAGAACAGAACAACCCAAAATGTCAAGGCAGTTATGAAGAGAACTTTTGAGGGTTAATCTTTAAAACTACAAATCAAAGGTTTTTTTTCTGTTATTAGATAACTGGTAAGTAAGTACTTTTCTGCTGAGTGTTCATACGAAAGCCAAGCTTCAAAACAAAACCTGACTAAAACAAGAGTCAAGCGCTCACGAGAAGGGATGCGAGAAGTACAATGCTCAAATGTTTATGTGTTATTAAAAAATAGAGCTATCTTACGCGTTCGCGGAGACTGGAGAAATGATGGTGAACCAAGTATCCCGATGGGGCACCATGCATGCAACGCCTGGGCAGAAGGTCAGGATGTCAGCGTAGACGCGTCTGCAGGCAGGCCTGCAGCTTGGATCTGACTCTGAAATATACTGAGTTCCCCTGAAACTCTTTGGTCCGTTCCCACGGGCGCCTGGGCTTACGAAGCATGTTGGTGTCCCTCCCTGGAGGCCCGGCCCAGCGTGTGGTACCCCTCCCTGGCGCTGGCCCACATCAGACAGGCCTGCGGGCACCGCCGGGACCCCTCGGCAGGGCCCAGGGCTGAGTGAGCAGCAGCTGGCAGTGGGACCCTGCTTGGGGAAGCAGTTACCCATCAACCAAAGCAGAAATCGCCCGAAGGTGGAAGGGGCTGAGAAAACACACTCAGCTTCTGTCTAACATCTTTAGTTTAAAAACGAAAACTGAAAGGCCACCTGTCTTTCCTTATCCCGTTGCGGAGACCCCGGATGAAACCAGCGTTAGACAGTCTCAGAGGGGAAAGCACGCTCCAGCTTCACCACCGGCCCGAGGGACTGGTTAGTCAATGCAGTCTGCTTAGATTTCTGTTTAATATATATTTTTAAGGAAATAACTTAAGAAACTTAAAATTGGTCTAACATTGTGGGATTTCAAACATTTGAACATGTCGGTTGCATCCCAGAGTATAAAAACCTTTTCACTTCTCATTTAGACTAAGACAAACACTTGTGAAAATTGGCGCAAAATGAGTTGTACACTAACAAAAAAGTTGCAACTTCTCCACTCTTAATTATCTATTCCGTACAAAAGAAGCAGGAGCGAGTTATTTGTGGGACTTGTTGGTTTTGAAGGAAACCTGTAAGATTTTGTCCCCCAGGCGGTAGCCGTTCAGACTGGCGATGGCCATGGCGGCCTCTTCATAGTTTGTCATTGTCACAAAGCCAAAGCCTTTGCACTTGTTGGTGTTGAAGTCGCGGATCACCTTCACATTGGTGACGGCGCCAAAGGGGCCGAACATCTGCCAGAGGATGCCCTCATCGGCGTCCTGGCCGAGGTTGTAGATGAAGATGCACCAGCCCGAGGAGGCGCTGCCCGGCACGCTGACGCCAGAGAGCCCGCTCATGTGGTCTACGCCCATGGGGGAGAACCTAGCGGAGAGAGCACAGCACCCGGGTCAGGCCGCGCTGCTTACCAGCGGGCGGTCCTGGCTGAGCGGGGCTCCGAGGGGGCAGGGGCGGCTCCCCGCTGCATGGGTGGCACGCGGCTTGCCTGCACAGGGCCCAAGCCACCGCCACTCCCTTCAGAGCTGGAGCGCGGGCCCCCCACCGTGGGGGGTCCTATTTAGTTACCCGTGTGCCCCACATTTTAAATGAGGGAATCTTCTCCGCAGCACCCCCTAGTGCTATCCCCGCGAACCTCCCTGGGGAAACTCCTCACACTCTAGGTCTGGGGGCCCGGGGGTCTGGTCTTGACCCTCTCCTGGTGACATCTGCTCACAGCCCGCCCGTGAGGGGCCACCTCAGGCTATGAGGGAATTCCCTGCCACAGCTCTGAACATCCCAGGAGGACTGTGCGTGACCCGCAAGCTCACCCAGCTTTACCAGAGATGTGGGACCCTTTCCAAGTGACCCTTTAGTTACGTCAAAGAGAAGCTTCTACAAGTGTGTGGCCACTGCAATGAGGTTAGAGGAGATGATGAGACAGTTACTGAAGCCACGTGGCCCTCCAGACATCTCACAAAGAAGTCAAGAATATTTGAGCACAACAGGGCATCCCGGAGGCCTCACGGGGCGACTGCGCAGGCACCGCCTGCTCCCAACTGCGATGAGGCTCCGAGCTGTGGGGCCGGCCTGGGATCAGGGGTCAGCAGGAGGCCCCAGGTGCCGTGAGGCGGCCTCGGTCTCGGCAGCCACGAGGGACCCACACCCAGGCTGACCCAGGAGTGACTTCCAGGGAAGGTATGGAGGGGCCGAGACACACTACTGGCCACAGTTTTGAACTCTAGAGGGTATTTTAAGCGGTTTGCACCAGGGTGTTGGAGGTGGCGAAATGACCCAGGGGGGCCTGCCAGCAGCCCTGAGTCTGGGGTTACACTGAGGCCACAGCGTCACTGGACCACAGCTGGGACAAGGCACCTACGTATCTGTGTGACATTAGGCCGAGCCCGTTTCCAGTGACAACTGGAAAGAGGTCCCGACTTTTAGTCGGTTTTCTCTGCTAAGTGGAGCTGGTATCTTTCACCCTGACAGTCAGGAGCCCCGTCTCCTCTGATGGCCCACGGAGAGCAGACCCTTCCCGTAAGGGGGCTCCCTCCTGCCGGCCCCACCCTCCCTCCATCTCCCTTGGTAGTGTCCCTCTGGTTTTCATGACCCCTTTTCCACCTGATCAGCAGTTTTGGCCCCCCAGTGGCCCCTTCTTTCCTATCCTTTGTTACCGTGTCCGAAGCCCCTCATCCTCCTCTGACCCTCCCTGGGGGTCCAGTTATCGGGTAACTCACTGACCGCTGCCGTCCACACATACCACCCGATCAGCAGCAATGCACACTGTCACCTGACTTTCAGAACTGGATTTAGCTTACCTCAGTCCCTTAGCCTTTGTCTTTAAACTAGAAAAGCCAATGAAGGTAGGCCGGCCTTGGAACCAGAGCCAGGGCGAGAGCCCTGGGATCTGGGACTGAAAATAACAACCTGGCGAAACGGCATCTGTTGCACCAGGCAGGGCTCACCCAGCCTCACCGCCCGAAACAAAGACGGCAAGACGCGCCCTCACGCCGCTTCCAGAGGTGCTGGCAATGACCAAGTGGCCCCTGACTGGGACCGTCCCTGTCTGCGGGTCTGGGGCACCAGGTAACCAGTGCTAACCATCTCTGCCCTAGATCTGGCGACTAGAATCATTTCCAACATGGACAGACTATGGAAGGTGGGAAGCTGTTCACCTCCAGGACGGGACTTCTGAAGCGAGGCGTGTAATGTTGAGGCGTCAAAGTGACTCCCCGCAGCAGGCATCTGGGAAAGGTCTGCCTCGGACTGCCAGTCCAACGGCTAAGCCTGGTTAGAAACTCCCAGAACAGCCCTCGCGGAAGCACCCCAAGGCTGCGTCTCTCTGCTCCCAGGGATGGAACCCTCCTCTCGGGGGTCACCAGGAGCGCTGACCCTGGAGCGGCTGGCCAGAGCCGGCACTGTGATTCCGACAGAAGACAACACCTGGGTGGACATCAACAGCTTCTACACAGAGGCCTTTTGATGCAGGTGGGGACACGGAGCACACGACGACCGGGAAAGCAACATCCGACATGACCCGGCCAGTGTGCCCAGCACGGGACCGCCCAGCCTGCTAGGCGAGGCGGGTGGCCAAGTGTTGCCCTCCGACCCACCTGAATCTCTGCGCCTGGTGATGGACAGGGCCCCCGAACCGCCTGGCCGGTGAGTGGTAAAGCTGGGAGAGCAGCGCCACGTTTTTGTTCTGGTTGGGGTTGGCAGCGAACTTCACTGTGATGGGCTCGGAGGAACCTGGGGGTTTATGACCATTGAAACTGGTAATTGCCTCTTCTGCTTCCGACCGTTTGTCAAACCGGATAAACGCAACCCCTCTGGACAAACCTTTTTGACAAACCAACAAAAATGGAGTTAGGGGGAAAAAAAAGGGAAAGATTTTCAAAACTGAAAAGCAAAAGTCAAGTCAGTCAGTCGGCTGTGGTTCAAGCTGGGTGCCTGGTTAGTGAGATAAAAAAATTAAAGCTGATATGGAAACAAATGAACAAATCAAACAAACAATGGCTAATAAAAGATTAAGGCTTCAGACTTTCTTTCCAGTTGAAGCAACAAGTCCACGGTCTTGGCATCCAGAGCAGACAGAGGCCCCAAGCCTCCTCCTCCTCCGGGGGCACACAGGGCAAGGAGGGCAGGGGCGGCGGGCTCGGGGCCTGGCTGGGCCTGTGCGGCCCGTCACCTTCCCAGCCGGCCGGCCAGGTCCCAGGTGGCTCGGCGCCCAGCTCCTCCCCCGTCCCCAGAGGGCGTGGAGCGAGTGAGCCTCATCTGACAGATTCGTCCTGCGCCCTCACCTCACACACCCAGATAATCCACAGAAGTCCTGGGACCCGCTGGGGGCCCCAAATTGCCCCCAAAATCAAGTGAGGACGGTTGCTCTTCCCATAGAGCTGCCCAGGCACACCCAACGAACGGTGCTGACCCCACCCACAGACCCAGGGCAGGCTGTCCCTGCTGCTGCATGGGAAGGGCCAGGGACCCCACCACAAACTCCAGCTGCCTGAATGGGCCACACAGAAGCCAACCCGGGGCCCCTGCTGGGACCCACCCCCTTGGCAGAGCAAGAATGCGGCTGGCAGGGGTGTGAGACCTGAGGGGGGATCGGCCACCCTCTCAGGACTGGGCTGGGGCTGCGGGAAGGGAGTGCGGAGCCACCTAAGAGGACTGGCTCTTCTCCTGGTGAGAAAAAATGAGGGGGTCAAGTATGAAGGTCAAAGGGTGGGGGTGGCGACCACTGAGAGCCGGGGTGATGGTGACATCAGCGGGCAGGAGCTGCAGGCGTGCCCCGGCGGGGTGGCCTCGGCCTACACACTCTCCACCGCCGCCCGTCACAGGCTGTCTTAAGTGGCGTTTCCGTCAGACAAAAGCCTTTTGCAGGAGGCGAATGATGGCCAACAAAGCAGGACAGGCCAGGGCTTCGGCCACACGTCCCCAGTCAGAGCCCACATCCCACACCTCTCCTCACCGTTTCCCATAGGGGCTTCTGGCAGCCGTGCAGGGGGTGCAGGGTCAGGGGCGGCTCCCCAGCTGGCCGTGGCTGCGAAGGGGCACAGACACCACACGAGTCCTAACACAAGCACCCCCAACTCTCCAGCCAGGACGGCTTCCACGAGCCCCCTGCACAGGGCCCTGGGAGGCCACGCAGCCACCCCCACTTTGGCCCTGTGATTGTTCAAACGTACATTTAAAATCCATAGGTCCAGAGACAGTCACTCGACTAGTGAGACCAGACCTGGCAGTGCGCACGAGGGCCCAGACGGGCTTCTAGTTTCAGTTCAGGAGAGCACCCGAAAACATGCCCTTGGCAGACACAGTTTTTATTTACTCTCACATGGGAGTGAAGGACACATGTGGCAGAGGGGCCCTGGGCACAGACCCAGCTTCAGGCAAACAGGACTGAAAGGTGGGGCTGCCTCCAGGCAGGCGGTCCCGCTCCATTTGTGAAGACCCCGCCGTAAAGCTGAGAGTGTGCGTCCAAGGGCGGTTTCCCAGGGTGGTTTTGTGAAATGACTTTCAGATGAAAACCGCCCCAGTGAAATGAAGCAAACCCAAGAAAAGGGAATATAAATCCACTAAAGATTTCATCAGTGGGCACTTGTAAAGGTTGCTCTGTGTGTTTTTTTCCTCCAGTATTTTCTAAGTTAAGAGCAGAGAACAATAAATGGCACCATGTATAGATGGGTAAGCTATCAAGTTCACAATTAAAATGGATACAAAAATTTTTTAAAAATTCAGTCTATCTATCGGCTCATTAAGGATAGACTCAGTCATCAACTTCTTAAGGAAGTTAAGCTTTCTTAAGAGCGTAGCGCATCTGTTTCCTTAATACTCTGGGCACATATGTGATGGCAAACCCGACACGGGGCCCGCCTGCCACGCTGTCCTCTGCCCCAGCCCCTGTGGGGTCCCGGCAGAGGAGCCCTTGGTGGAGCAGAGGGAGGGGAGGGAAGTCCGGTTGGGGCCCCCCACAGCTCCCTACTCTCTGCCCCGCCCCAGGACTCTGAGGACAGAGGTGTGGGCCAGGCCCGTGTGTGAGAGGTCACCGCAGAGCCCCTGGCCTCACCGGAGAAAAGGAGGCGGAATCCCCTGCCAACGCCTGCAGAGGTGGCCTCCCTGGGATGGCGGGAGCCCCGGGGGGGGGCTGAGTGGCAGAGGGGCTGCCCTCAGAGGCGGGAGGCCTACCCCGGAGGGAGCGGGCCCTCTCAGCAGCGCTGGGCTGCACAGAGATGGGAGGCAACGTGGAACACGCAGAGTCTGGGAGAGGAGGGCCACGAAGGCAGAATGCGGGCCACACCGTCACCCGCTCCAGACCCACGTGGCCCACTCAGCTGCTCCCACATGGGGCAGGAATGAATACGTGCATTGACCAGCCAGCTGGATCATTCGCTCTCATCGGCACTTGGAGGGAAGTAAGGAGGGCTTCAGGGAGCCAGGAATCTATTCCGGGGCAGCCCGGCGGAGCGGAGGGTTATGTCAAGTCAAGGGACCTCCCCACTCAATTGCCCACCCAGAGCAGGGACAGAACGAGGGAGGTGGTGTGGGTGGGAGATCCGCGGCCCTCCAGCATGGTCGGTGTTGGAGCAGGGGTTGGTGCCAGGCCACAGGGCATATCCCCAGCTCCCATGAAATGCCAGGCTTGCAGACCCCACTCCAGAAGCCCCTTCTCCCCAGGCCCCTGGGGGACTGGAGTCTGGACAGCAGGCAGGGCCAAGCTGAGCTCCCACAGCTGGGGCTCGAGAAGGAAGGGCACCTGCCCCAAAGCACATGGTGTGCACCTCCAACCCAGCTGTCACAGGCCAGGAAGGCCTTGCCCACCTGCACTCTGTGGTCTACCCTGCAGTCCCCCGGTGGCACTGCTGGACTCTCGGGAGGCAACTCAGTGCAGGCCTTCTTGTGACCCCACTGCTGTGACCCCACTGCCCCAAATTTAATAGCATGAACCAGGGGGTGGGAAGCACACTGTGTAGGAAGAGCCTGAGCCTGAACCAGCCCCAGGCAATCCTGCCGGCTTGCTGAGCTCTGGGACCACACCTTCCCCTCCAGCTCATCAGCAGATTCCCACTCGGGGTGGGAGCAGAACTGAGACCTGGAGCAGTGGCCCCCACCCCCAACTCCCCCAAGTCACACGTGGGGCTTGGTGGGGACGTCCTGATGCCAGCCTCGAGGCCGGTGGGCCAAGCAGGTGAGCAGGCGAGCAGGCCGCACCATCGGGGCTGGAAGCCAGCCTCAGGCCCACTCACCTGCCGCCTGGCTGCTTTATGCAAAGCCCAGAACCAAAGCTGCCAACGCAGGTGACCAGGAAGGGGCTGGTCCAGGGGCTGGACTGTGCGAGAGGGACTAACTGCCTGCAAGCTACCCGCCCAGGACATCCAGATCATGGGGCCTAGAGAGTGGCTCCCAGGACACCTGGGCAGTGAAAAGCCAGGGCTCTGGACCAGGAGTAAGACTGTCGTCCCGCACACTGCCTGCCTGCAACAGGCAGCGAATGGCTGGGCCGGCGGGAGCCTCAGCGAGGGCATCGCGATCTCTTGATGTTTTCACTATAAAATGCTGAGTGACTACAAGGGCTGCTTTTATGCCACGTTACCTCCCGGCCTCACAAAACAAAAGCCACTGTCTTCTCATTCTGATTCTGTCTTCGTTGGCACTAACTACTGACACCTAAGATCAGCGATGTGTCTTCCCTAGAAACCCTGGCCCCAGGCCTGGAGGAGCACCTCGCTGTGTGTCCCTGCCGCCCGCCGTACCTGTCGTCTGGTCCACAAGGACCCGGGAGTTGATGATTCGCCCGAACCGCGAGAACATGTCCTCCACGTCCTTCTGGGTCATGGTCCTCGGGAGGCCGCTGATATACAAGTTGGCGTCTTTGATGACCTCGGAGCTCGGGCGAGCATACGACACCTTGAAAACAAAACCGCTTTCTGGAGTTAGGACAGGTGTATGCTAAATTCTGGGGTGAGAAAAAGTCCACTCTGGTGCCCATTCTCGTCACCCAGGCAGCTCGCCCAGGCCAGGTAGCCGGCCAGACACCTGTCACGTTTCTCCCCTGGCCCTCAGTCCCCGACGAGGCGAACATTATTCCTATTTCTCTAAGCCGGGAGATGGACGGCCCACAGCATTCAGCGCAGGGCTGAACCCCAACCCTGCTGCCTGTTCTCCGTCCATGGCTGACCCGGCCCGACTGTGAGCCCCGGGGCGTAGAGCAAGACTTGGGTGCCGTTGGGAGCACGACACCCACCTGCCCACAGACCGCTTGCCACGGGAGCCCTGGAGTGCCGGGGAACCCCAAGAGCAACCCCTGAGCGCTCAGCATCAAAGGACCTCTGAGCATCCACACCACCAGGTGGTTTTGAAGAACTGAAGGAAGGCTGGGAGCCACCTCTGCAGAGGCTCAGATGAAATGGCACATATGCACACGCGAGGCTGAAGTGGCCAGCGTCCAGGAGAGGCCCGTGGTACTTCCCCGGGTCGGGCAAGGGCCCTGTGGACCCTGCAGGCCAGGAGAATGGGACCTGTGGGAAGGAGCGGCTGGGACAAGGCCCCTCTGCCCATGGATGGGGGATTGGGGGGGGGCCTAAAGCACCTCTGAAGGAGCGGACCCGAGTCAGGGGGCTGGGGGACAGTGGAGGCGGGGCGTGGACGCGGACCCACACAGACCCCTCTCTGAGCGGCAAGACCGAGAGGAGGCTGAGACCCTGACGCCGGCACAAACCCCCCCAGGGACAGTGCTGCTGTCTCACCACAGGAAGCCTGGAGGGGGCAGGAGGGGGCTGGCCACACCCTCACCTGGCTGGGGGAACAAGGGGGCTGGGAGGACACAGGCTGCCTGAGAAACACCCAACGAACGGTGCTGACCCCACCCACAGACCCAGGGCAGGCTGTCCCTGCTGCTGCATGGGAAGGGCCAGGGACCCCACCACAAACTCCAGCTGCCTGAATGGGCCACACAGAAGCCAACCCGGGGCCCCTGCTGGGACCCACCCCCTTGGCAGAGCAAGAATGCGGCTGGCAGGGGTGTGAGACCTGAGGGGGGATCGGCCACCCTCTCAGGACTGGGCTGGGGCTGCGGGAAGGGAGTGCGGAGCCACCTAAGAGGACTGGCTCTTCTCCTGGTGAGAAAAAATGAGGGGGTCAAGTATGAAGGTCAAAGGGTGGGGGTGGCGACCACTGAGAGCCGGGGTGATGGTGACATCAGCGGGCAGGAGCTGCAGGCGTGCCCCGGCGGGGTGGCCTCGGCCTACACACTCTCCACCGCCGCCCGTCACAGGCTGTCTTAAGTGGCGTTTCCGTCAGACAAAAGCCTTTTGCAGGAGGCGAATGATGGCCAACAAAGCAGGACAGGCCAGGGCTTCGGCCACACGTCCCCAGTCAGAGCCCACATCCCACACCTCTCCTCACCGTTTCCCATAGGGGCTTCTGGCAGCCGTGCAGGGGGTGCAGGGTCAGGGGCGGCTCCCCAGCTGGCCGTGGCTGCGAAGGGGCACAGACACCACACGAGTCCTAACACAAGCACCCCCAACTCTCCAGCCAGGACGGCTTCCACGAGCCCCCTGCACAGGGCCCTGGGAGGCCACGCAGCCACCCCCACTTTGGCCCTGTGATTGTTCAAACGTACATTTAAAATCCATAGGTCCAGAGACAGTCACTCGACTAGTGAGACCAGACCTGGCAGTGCGCACGAGGGCCCAGACGGGCTTCTAGTTTCAGTTCAGGAGAGCACCCGAAAACATGCCCTTGGCAGACACAGTTTTTATTTACTCTCACATGGGAGTGAAGGACACATGTGGCAGAGGGGCCCTGGGCACAGACCCAGCTTCAGGCAAACAGGACTGAAAGGTGGGGCTGCCTCCAGGCAGGCGGTCCCGCTCCATTTGTGAAGACCCCGCCGTAAAGCTGAGAGTGTGCGTCCAAGGGCGGTTTCCCAGGGTGGTTTTGTGAAATGACTTTCAGATGAAAACCGCCCCAGTGAAATGAAGCAAACCCAAGAAAAGGGAATATAAATCCACTAAAGATTTCATCAGTGGGCACTTGTAAAGGTTGCTCTGTGTGTTTTTTTCCTCCAGTATTTTCTAAGTTAAGAGCAGAGAACAATAAATGGCACCATGTATAGATGGGTAAGCTATCAAGTTCACAATTAAAATGGATACAAAAATTTTTTAAAAATTCAGTCTATCTATCGGCTCATTAAGGATAGACTCAGTCATCAACTTCTTAAGGAAGTTAAGCTTTCTTAAGAGCGTAGCGCATCTGTTTCCTTAATACTCTGGGCACATATGTGATGGCAAACCCGACACGGGGCCCGCCTGCCACGCTGTCCTCTGCCCCAGCCCCTGTGGGGTCCCGGCAGAGGAGCCCTTGGTGGAGCAGAGGGAGGGGAGGGAAGTCCGGTTGGGGCCCCCCACAGCTCCCTACTCTCTGCCCCGCCCCAGGACTCTGAGGACAGAGGTGTGGGCCAGGCCCGTGTGTGAGAGGTCACCGCAGAGCCCCTGGCCTCACCGGAGAAAAGGAGGCGGAATCCCCTGCCAACGCCTGCAGAGGTGGCCTCCCTGGGATGGCGGGAGCCCCGGGGGGGGGCTGAGTGGCAGAGGGGCTGCCCTCAGAGGCGGGAGGCCTACCCCGGAGGGAGCGGGCCCTCTCAGCAGCGCTGGGCTGCACAGAGATGGGAGGCAACGTGGAACACGCAGAGTCTGGGAGAGGAGGGCCACGAAGGCAGAATGCGGGCCACACCGTCACCCGCTCCAGACCCACGTGGCCCACTCAGCTGCTCCCACATGGGGCAGGAATGAATACGTGCATTGACCAGCCAGCTGGATCATTCGCTCTCATCGGCACTTGGAGGGAAGTAAGGAGGGCTTCAGGGAGCCAGGAATCTATTCCGGGGCAGCCCGGCGGAGCGGAGGGTTATGTCAAGTCAAGGGACCTCCCCACTCAATTGCCCACCCAGAGCAGGGACAGAACGAGGGAGGTGGTGTGGGTGGGAGATCCGCGGCCCTCCAGCATGGTCGGTGTTGGAGCAGGGGTTGGTGCCAGGCCACAGGGCATATCCCCAGCTCCCATGAAATGCCAGGCTTGCAGACCCCACTCCAGAAGCCCCTTCTCCCCAGGCCCCTGGGGGACTGGAGTCTGGACAGCAGGCAGGGCCAAGCTGAGCTCCCACAGCTGGGGCTCGAGAAGGAAGGGCACCTGCCCCAAAGCACATGGTGTGCACCTCCAACCCAGCTGTCACAGGCCAGGAAGGCCTTGCCCACCTGCACTCTGTGGTCTACCCTGCAGTCCCCCGGTGGCACTGCTGGACTCTCGGGAGGCAACTCAGTGCAGGCCTTCTTGTGACCCCACTGCTGTGACCCCACTGCCCCAAATTTAATAGCATGAACCAGGGGGTGGGAAGCACACTGTGTAGGAAGAGCCTGAGCCTGAACCAGCCCCAGGCAATCCTGCCGGCTTGCTGAGCTCTGGGACCACACCTTCCCCTCCAGCTCATCAGCAGATTCCCACTCGGGGTGGGAGCAGAACTGAGACCTGGAGCAGTGGCCCCCACCCCCAACTCCCCCAAGTCACACGTGGGGCTTGGTGGGGACGTCCTGATGCCAGCCTCGAGGCCGGTGGGCCAAGCAGGTGAGCAGGCGAGCAGGCCGCACCATCGGGGCTGGAAGCCAGCCTCAGGCCCACTCACCTGCCGCCTGGCTGCTTTATGCAAAGCCCAGAACCAAAGCTGCCAACGCAGGTGACCAGGAAGGGGCTGGTCCAGGGGCTGGACTGTGCGAGAGGGACTAACTGCCTGCAAGCTACCCGCCCAGGACATCCAGATCATGGGGCCTAGAGAGTGGCTCCCAGGACACCTGGGCAGTGAAAAGCCAGGGCTCTGGACCAGGAGTAAGACTGTCGTCCCGCACACTGCCTGCCTGCAACAGGCAGCGAATGGCTGGGCCGGCGGGTGCCTCAGCGAGGGCATCGCGATCTCTTGATGTTTTCACTATAAAATGCTGAGTGACTACAAGGGCTGCTTTTATGCCACGTTACCTCCCGGCCTCACAAAACAAAAGCCACTGTCTTCTCATTCTGATTCTGTCTTCGTTGGCACTAACTACTGACACCTAAGATCAGCGATGTGTCTTCCCTAGAAACCCTGGCCCCAGGCCTGGAGGAGCACCTCGCTGTGTGTCCCTGCCGCCCGCCGTACCTGTCGTCTGGTCCACAAGGACCCGGGAGTTGATGATTCGCCCGAACCGTGAGAACATGTCCTCCACGTCCTTCTGGGTCATGGTCCTCGGGAGGCCGCTGATATACAAGTTGGCGTCTTTGATGACCTCGGAGCTCGGGCGAGCATACGACACCTTGAAAACAAAACCGCTTTCTGGAGTTAGGACAGGTGTATGCTAAATTCTGGGGTGAGAAAAAGTCCACTCTGGTGCCCATTCTCGTCACCCAGGCAGCTCGCCCAGGCCAGGTAGCCGGCCAGACACCTGTCACGTTTCTCCCCTGGCCCTCAGTCCCCGACGAGGCGAACATTATTCCTATTTCTCTAAGCCGGGAGATGGACGGCCCACAGCATTCAGCGCAGGGCTGAACCCCAACCCTGCTGCCTGTTCTCCGTCCATGGCTGACCCGGCCCGACTGTGAGCCCCGGGGCGTAGAGCAAGACTTGGGTGCCGTTGGGAGCACGACACCCACCTGCCCACAGACCGCTTGCCACGGGAGCCCTGGAGTGCCGGGGAACCCCAAGAGCAACCCCTGAGCGCTCAGCATCAAAGGACCTCTGAGCATCCACACCACCAGGTGGTTTTGAAGAACTGAAGGAAGGCTGGGAGCCACCTCTGCAGAGGCTCAGATGAAATGGCACATATGCACACGCGAGGCTGAAGTGGCCAGCGTCCAGGAGAGGCCCGTGGTACTTCCCCGGGTCGGGCAAGGGCCCTGTGGACCCTGCAGGCCAGGAGAATGGGACCTGTGGGAAGGAGCGGCTGGGACAAGGCCCCTCTGCCCATGGATGGGGGATTGGGGGGGGGCCTAAAGCACCTCTGAAGGAGCGGACCCGAGTCAGGGGGCTGGGGGACAGTGGAGGCGGGGCGTGGACGCGGACCCACACAGACCCCTCTCTGAGCGGCAAGACCGAGAGGAGGCTGAGACCCTGACGCCGGCACAAACCCCCCCAGGGACAGTGCTGCTGTCTCACCACAGGAAGCCTGGAGGGGGCAGGAGGGGGCTGGCCACACCCTCACCTGGCTGGGGGAACAAGGGGGCTGGGAGGACACAGGCTGCCTGAGAGCCGACGCTGCCGGGACACCCCAGGCTGGGGAGGGGCCCGCCCGTGCGCTAGCGCCCTTCGCGGGGACCCTCTCTACTGGCAGGCTGAGCGGGCGAGAGTCACTGGCCTGGGTGGCCATCCCCCACCACACGTCTGACATGGGATGCCTCACTGTGAACAGACAGGAGGCCCCCAGACCCCAGGAGCACCTGGGCCCCAAGGAGAGGCTGTGCCCACGGCCCCCTCAGCCACAGCGGTGAGTGACAGAGTGGCCCACTTGGGCCGGGTGGGGCACAGCAGCCGGGCAGGCTGGGAATGGATGGGGCAGCGACCGCACCTGTTTACCTTAATAGTCTTTGACTGGAGCCGCAGGCCATTCAGAGTGTTTATCGCTCTCTCTGCGTCCTTTGCTGTCACGTAGTTCACAAAGCCATAGCCCAGGCTGTGTCCTGTGTGGGAGAACACGTGTGTCAGTGAACCAGGTGTGCACGGGCAAGACAGCCAGGCAGGACAGACAGGCCACATGCCACTGGGCTCCAGGGGCGAGGTCGGAGCAAAGGGGAAGGAAAGCCAGGGGCCACTTGGAGCCTGGTCTCGGCCGTGGGAAGTGCGGTAGGGACCAAGGGCTGCTCTACTGGCAGCTTCTCTGTACGGATGGTCACAGTCTACACTGGCAGCTTCTCTGTTACATGTCTTGGGCAAGCTTGTACACTTTCTGCAGTGAACAAACGTTACTTTTGTAAGTAAAGAAAGGGTATTTACAGAGAAGCTGGGTGCTGCCAGTGGCGGTCCAGTGGAACCCAGCACCAGAGCAATGACCATCCTGGCTCCCACTTGGCACCGGGCCAGTTGCTCTGCAGGGCTGCATGGGGGCCTGCGGCGTCAGTCACAGCCAGCAGAGGCTGACACTTGTGGGTGGGGAGTCCCGACCACCAGCTGCGTCCAGCCATTTCTCCGCCACCTGGCCGGGCTCTGGCGCCACCCAGTGTTGGTTCTCCACCCCCCCCATCCCCCTCCAGACCCCTACCCGCTTTCCTGAGCCTGTGACCCAGAAGCTAGGGATGAGGGCCCGCCAGAGCACATGGCAGAGCTGAGAAGGCCCAGCCCAGCCACCAGCCCCGGTTAAGCTTCCAGGAACCCCTCGGCCATCAGTGGCCACACCTAGGGGCATCGTTAGGGATGCAAACACCTGAGCTCTTCCCAACGAAACCCAGGGTTACAGGTGGGGTGCTGCTGCCCCCTCTTTGGAAGGGCTCAGAAGCGGCGGGATACCACGGAAGGACGTGGCAAGGCGGGCATGGGCTGCATGTGCCGTGGTCCCCAAGAGGTCCAGGGGGAAGCAGACGCTGCCGGCAGGGCTGGAAGGAGCCTGGCTCCATCACTGCGTGGGAGGAGCAGGAAGCCCAGACCGCAGCACCTGCCACGCCCATGCCTCACCCTCCGACGCCACGCTGGCAGGCACCCACTGCGCCTGGACGGCCACCGCGGCAAGCACAACAAAAGCATGCCCTCACTGCCCTCTCCGCGCTCTGCTCCGCCCCTCCTGTTGGAGCAGTGACAGGGGCAGCCCGAACACCTGATGAGGCCTGGAGCCACAGAGAGATCCCACGGCAGCGGCGCCAGCGGGCCAGCTGAGCCCAGACCTTCTGCCGATATGAAGCCCGGAGCCTAGTGGAGAGCCTTGTGCGTTTTGCCACTTTCAAGAAAACCTTTATTTTTTAGATGTAAAGAAAAATGACAAAGAGCAGAGTTCCCACATCCCCCGTCATCCCCCCTATTAATGACACTGTGCCCTCGGCCGAGACGCCTGTCACACTGAGGAGCCAGGATGCGCCCTTCGGGGTGCACGGTGTGCGTGGATCAGCACGGCCCGAGTCTGCCGGCCGGCCTCCTGTGCCCCGGGGACACCTGCCGACCGGCGCGGCATTCAGACACCACATCCCCTTAGGTCCTCGGGCTGGCGCGGTTTCTTGGACTTGCCTTGTTTTCGATGATCTTGCAAGTTTCGAGGAGAACAGGTCAGGATTGTGTAGAATCTCTCCACCTGGGTTATTCTGGTGGTATCTCTGCAGTTAGACTGGAAGAGGATGGGCCCTGGGAGGAAGCCCGCGGCGTGAAGGCCCTTGTCAGCCCCTCACCTGACTCTGCCCCTGCCCCTGGTCGAGGGCTGGGTCTGCCAGGTGCGCCACTGGGAGGTACCCCCAGCCCCCTTCCCAGGCTTAGGCTGCGGGTGGCAGTGTCTCCAGCCAGTGCCTTCAGGGCAGAGCAGCTTCATCAGTTATATTTGCAATTCTGCACAGGCCACTTTCCTTTTTAAAGAAGAACAAAGCCTGACCCTGCAGACCCGTGTTTCTAACACAACTCCACTGATCTCAGGGGCTCAGCTCCTGAGCCCTGGATGGTGGGGGTCCCGGAGCAGCAGGTCTGGGCGGCTGGGCCCCTCTGGCAGGAGACTCAGGCTCACAGCTCAGAGAACCACACGCAGCTCCGCGCAGGAACTTGAGGGCCCTTCGCGGACTAGACCACAGATGTTAAAGCTCAGAATGCAGAAGGCTTGTGGATTCCCACCCAAACGTCAGCCCTGTCGGAAGCCCACCCCCAGACACCTGCCCCCGCCACCGCCCGCACCACCCACATGGGGACCTCCTGCTCCTCCCAAGGCCAGTCCCAGCCCTGGGCTGCCTGTGTCCTTCGCTGCCGGGGCCTTGGGCGCCCTACTGTGGGGAGCTGGCTGCTGCTGAGGGTGTGTGTGCAGGCCCTGCTCCTGCATCTCAGGCGGCACCTGGCTCCTCTCAGCACATGGCACATGGGCGCCAGCGGGCTCCGGCCCCAGCTCCAGCCAGTGCCCTGTGTGGAAGGCGGCTGCTGACTGCCAGCACCGCCAGCACCAAGGCTGCCTGACCCTCAGTGCCACCCTGTGGACAGTTTGGGGATGAGGTCTCTACTCCCAGCAGCACTGGGCCCTGCTGAACAGCTCAGGGCGCCACCTCCTCCAGGGTGCGACGAGCATGCCAGGTTTCCTTCCCCACAGCTGACCAGCCTCGGCCCCTGTCTTCTGCCCGTTCTGTTGGATGGTCCCCAAGGTTCTGCCCGTCTCCATCGTGCACTCTTGACTCTTGCTAGGGGACCTCCTTGGCAACCCGTGTGCCCATGCCTGTAATGTCACCTAGGAAGTCACACACCCAGACAGCCACTGCCTCCTTCCCTGGGCCTTCCTATCCAGGTCATTATGTGTCAGGCCCTGTGCCGGACTGGCCAGGGGCTCTGATGACCATCACAAGGCGGAGAGCTGGTGTCTTAATGAAATTCATGTCCCAGTGGGCAAGTCAGCCAACAGACCAACAAGAAACCAGCGAACAAAGCTGCCGAGCAGGGGCCACAGGGACAACCCCCGCCGCAGTGTGAGGGCCGACAGGATGGGCCGGTGGGTGCGGGCTGGCCAGGAGCGCCCCAGAGGAAGCGGTGTCTGCTGAAGACGTGGCTGGGGAAGCACGCAGACAGGAGAGCAAACACCACATCTCAGAGGCAGAGATGACTGTGGTGTGTTGCAGGAAGCGACAGGCTGCTGGTGAGCAGCCACATTGGCTGCTGGGTCAGCATGGGGCAGGTGGCATAGGAAGACCCAGCGGGAGGACCCGCAGGTGGTTGAGCAGGAGGGAGGGAGCTCCCGAGGGGCGAGCGCCCTGAGGGCCCCAGAGCAGCGCCCTGCCTCCTGCCAGTGCTCCCAGACTGTGCCTCCTGGGTCTGAGGCAGGTGGGCAGGGATCTCTGCGCACCCCTTTCCCAGGGCTGGCTGTCCCCGCAGAGCCTGTTCTACCCGCTGCGGTGGCCCTGTGTGCAGCAGAGGGGAGGCAAGTGAGCCACAAAGGGGAGCCTGGCCCCCAGATGGGGCCACAGAAAAGCGCTTGCACTGCGCTGAGAGCCCACCTCCACCTGCCCAGCTGCCAGCCAGTCGCTCTCAACTTCGGCTGATCCATGGAACCACCAGGGCAGCACCGAAAACTATCACCGCCCAGGCCACAGCCAGACTGGTGAGATGGGGGGGAGGGGGGCGTCAGGGGAAGCAGTGGGGCAGCTCCAGTAGTTCTTAAAGCTCCCCAGCAACTCCAGTGCCAGCCAGGTCAAGGCCGCTGCCAGGAGCCGGTCCCTGGCCCTCTGTTGGACACGCACAGACCCCTGAGGCTGCTCAAGCTGGCCTAGTGCGCACAGCAGGGGAGGCAAGTGCCCACGGACGGGCCTTCTCTGCAGTGTGAGGGGGTGGGCAGGGCCGGGGTCTTCCTTTAAGGTCTGTGGGCCCTCAAGGGACGACTTCGCCAAAGGAGGGACCTAAGTCTCGGTGTGTGGGTGCAAGTGCATTCATTAGGCAGTAAGTAAGAAACAGCAAATGCCCCCCAAAGAATGAAAAGGGGCAAAGGACAAGTAGGGTATTTTATCAAAGGAGAGTACAAACAGCTACAGATCTGTAGAAACAGATGAACTTTACTGGGGAGTGAATAACCACCAGGACCAATGTCAGGTTTCACAGCTCACAACGATGACGGCCCCTGGGTGGGTCAGGAAGAAAGGTGTGTAAATTGCAGATCCCCCGAGGGCCAGCTGGTGACATGGGTCACGAGCTTCTATAAGGCCGTGCTCACCTATGGGAAGACTCCACAGCAATAGCAAGCGAGCAAGGATTTGTGCCAGGATATTTATCTCAGCTGGGCTTCTAAATATGGGAAGATGTTACAGCCGGTTATAAACCCAGAGCCCCCCCACAGCAGAACACGGCGCAACCACAATGGGGAGGCAGCTCGGCTCAATGATAAGGAAAAATGCTTACGGACACAGGAGGAAGCGTCCCGCACACCTCGGGTGGTGTGAGCCCAACTTTGTAAAATCATACGATCGCTTACGACCATGAATACGGAAAGAAAAGTCTGGAAGGACATGAACCGAAAGCTAACGGTGGTGGGATTACTGGTCATTCAAACTTTGCTTCCTGCTGGTCTCATGTTAATTTTCTTCTATAAGGAACAAGAATGATTCATATTGAGAAAAAAAACATGGTCCAGACGGGTTGGGTGTGGAAGGGCATTCCTGCAGAGGGAACAGTATTTGTGAAACCCCAGTGTGGGAGAGCAGCTCAGCCCAGCCCGAGAGGAGGGCGCGTGGGGGCCCTGGAGGCCGGGGAGGACAGTCAGGGGCTGCAGACGGGGCTGTGGGCTGGACCCCGACCGGAGGTGCGCAGCAGTGAGGCAGAGGCCAAGCGGAGGGGCTGCAGGCTGGGGACAGGGTGGCCGGCATGACAGTCCAGGAGGGTGGAGGTGGTTGTGGACGATGTGGCCCTGTCTAGGACGGTGGCTCTGTGGGCTGTAAGGCACCTGTACAGAGACCAGGGGCCAGGACAGAAGTCAAAGGTCACACTTAGATTTCTGCCTGGGGAGATGAGTGGACAGTGTTGCCATCTGCCAAGGAGGGCAAGCTGGCAGCAAGAGGACAGTTTGGTGGGGGGAGTCCAGGTCCATGTGGAGAGCTGAGACTGAGGGGTGGAGGTCCGGAGCTTGAGCGGGGCTTTCCAGGAGAAAGAGAAGTGGCCGCGCCCATGCTGCAGGGCACCTCCGCTCACCCCGGTGCAGCCGAGGCGGCGAGGCTGGGCATAACCCTGAGGCCCACCTGAGTTTACGCCCGGGAAGGAGCTGCAGGAGCAGCAGGGTGAGGCCTGGGAGGGGGAAAGGCAGGGCACGTAGTTCACAGAAGCCCAGGGAAGAGGAAGCTTCCAGAAGGAAGAGGAGACCATCACCTGATGGCCCTGTGAATAGGAGGAGGACAAGGGCTGGAGCAGGGTTCTCACCCAGGGCCTCTCACCCCCAGGGCCACTTAGTGATGTCTGGGGACATTGTGGGGTGGTCACGACTCAGAAAGTGGCCCTGGCATTGGGTGGGCAGAGGCCGAGATTGCTGCGCCACATCCTACAATGTGCAGGATGGTCCTCCAAAGAATTACCAGCCCCAAATGTGAACCGTGCCCCAGTGGAGAAGCCCTGAGCCAGAGGGAGTCAGGGAATCTTCGCAAGGGCTCTGCTCAAGGAGCAGACACCACACTGTCTGAATGGCGGCATGGCGGTCCTGCGGCCAAAGGTGGAGGTGGCTGCAGTCACTGCCAAGCAGGAGGCCGCCTTCAGCCAGGGAAGGGGCTGTAAGAAGAACAGGTGGGCTGCAGGGACTGCTGGTGGGCATGGGGCTGGCTCGGCTGCAGGCTGAGCTCAGCTGGGCATCTGATTCACCAGGATGCCCATCTGCCCAGACATGGGACCCTGTCTGGGGTGGGCAGCCCGAGCCCAGCCGGCTGGGAGGAGGCAGTCGGACAAACATATCCACTCCTGGGGTCCCACCAGAACAGTGTAATGAAGGCCATAGCCCCGGGGCCAGCCAGCAAAGTCTTCCCACACCAGGGGCAGGAGGAGAAAGCTGGAGAACCATGTGTTTTCAATAAAGCTACATTCATTCCCTTCAAAGAACCAGCAAGACGCCGAGCGGAAATGCAAGCCCAGGCCCACCACCCCAGGTCTCCCGCACATCACACTTATCTTGCCAAAGAGAAGAGAGTTCATCTCTGAACTGAAGTAATTTCCACATTATGCTTTCGCCACCTCCACCTGGCTCTCAAAACCAGTTCTCTCCAGACTGATCATGCCAAACCTAGGTGTTCCTACTAACACAGCTCACATTCCTTTGAAACCCAGACACAGGGGACAAAGACGTTGGGTGCCATGAGGACTGGCGCAGAACCGGACAGCCGTGCTGCGGAGTGTCAATGCGGCGAAAATTCCCTTCCACCAGAGCGTAAAAGGAGAAAGGTGAGGCTTGTCAGTAGCACAGGAGACTTTTAAGTCGCCTCTGAACAAGGCCTCTTGCTCAGGATGGTCTCCTGGAGCAGGGCAGAGACAGCAGTTTCTAGAACCTGCCAACACTGTTCAAGTTGGATATTATCTACAATTCCCATTTAGAAGTCATTTATTAAGTCACAGGCTCCAAATTGGAAGGGCCCTTAAAAGGCTTTAGCGCTCAATGCCCCCCACGGGTGGGCTCATTCCCTGTGTGGGTCAGCCAGCCTCTAGGGGGTCACCCCGAGACAGTCTGCACGTTACTGGCAAAAGCTGAGCTGCCAAAGTAGGATGATGAGCACGTGGGGTTCAATGTTACTCTAGTTTTGTGTACATTTGATGTAATAAGATGTTACTACATTTCCATAATCAAAGTGCCTTTCTCCTTTTAAATTCTCCCCAGCACCGCATGGGGGGCAGGGCAGCTCCCGAAAACAACCCTCCTCCTGGGGAGCAAAGGAACAAGGGCTTCATGGCACCTGGTTTTCCCGTGTTTTCTCCAGGGTCCTCAAAACCCTGCTCTTAAGGAAGGGGGCCCACCCTTTAAGAGGAGTCTTCCAGGGGTCTGCGTCAGGAGGGAAAAGCCACCATCCTCCTTTACAGATGGGGACAGAGGCTTAGAGGTCACACGTGGAAGGAGGGGAGAGTGGGGCTTTCAGCCAGCCATTGGCAGGCCCCCCCTGGAGGACCCCTCCAAGAGGTGCTCAGTGGGTTTCAGATGTTCAAGTTGTTGGTCTGACAGCAAACAACCCACGCAAAAAAAATCACAGCCAAAACCCAGAAGGGCTGCCTGGGGGACTCGGCACTCTGCAGCAGGCCTGACCCTGCTCAGGGGCCGGGCACACCGGGATGGGCCTGCCCGTGCCTGTCCTGGGCAGGGTGCCGGCCAGCGTCCCTTCCACAGTGGGACCAAGCAGGGCCAGGGTCAGTCTTCGGGCCCCTCCAGCTCTCAGTAGTCCGGCTCTGGTGCCTTGCTCCCCACCCCACCCACCCTGCTCTGGGCATGCCTTCCATCTTATGATGGATTTTTCCTCTTTTGGGAACCCATGTCCGATCTTAACACCAGGGCGGTGGCAAAAACGTATGACACAAAATGGAACTTCACAGCCACTGTCTCAAGGCTGTGGCTCTTCTGCCCTGAGGGACGCTGTGGAGTCACAGAGAGGACAGCACTCAGCAGGACGGCCGCAAGTCCCCCCTTTACAAACACGTCTGAGTTTCTTTACCTGCTACTTTATCCCGAATGAGTTTTGCCGACTCAACTTCACCAATACTGCTGAACAGACTTCGTAATTCATCCTGGGTCATGTTCTGAGGGAGGTAGTTGACAATTAAATTTGTTCTCCCAATATCATCCCTGCAGTCTTCGGCCATGTGGTCTTCATAACCATTAGACATTGTATTTCTTAAAAATCTGCAGAGGGAAGGAAAAATCAAGTAAGTTCCAAATGCTCATATTGCAGAATATTAAGGCAAAACGGAGGACTGGCACCTAGGATTTTTCTTTTCCACACTTTAAGTTCAGCTTACATCCAGCAAAAACCCACCACGGAGTTTTCCAGCAGCTTTATTAGTAATAGCCTCTAAACTGGAAACAACATGCCCTTCACTAGGTAAGTGGAAAAACAAAATAATCCCCTGCTAGATCCGGGGGGGAGGAATGTAATGTAACCTACGGGCTCAGCCAATATGGATCAGTGTTGGTTCAGGAATTGCAACAAAGTATCACCCTCATGCAAGATGTGGGGCACAGAGGAGACTTTGTGTCGGGAGCTTTCTGCTAACCTAGCCCTGCTCTAAAGAGAAGTCAAACAAAACAAAGCAGCGCCCAGTTCAATCATCCCCACTTGCGGAGAGGGCTTCCCCAAAACCCAAACCCAATTTCTGAGTCAGGATTCCAGCTCCTGGGAAAGGGTCTGGGTCGCCTCTCAAGCATCCCCAGGATTTCTGGTTGCTCTCCCTCGCCGCCACGTGCACCACGGATGGACACCGAGGGGCCCCGCAGCTCAGGCGCCCTGTCTGTCCTCCAGCAGGCAGACGGCGGTTCTCTGAGTCCCTTTATCCCAGAGGTCAGAGCCGTGAGTAGGAGAGAGGTTAGGATTTCTCTGCCGGGCAGGGGACTTGTCTTCAGAGCCTGCGGGCTCTGGGAAGCCTTCCGCAGCCTGCGGAAACCTTTACTTCCTGTGACACACAGCGGAGCACAGGGGCGGCTTCAGGGCCGAGTCACAATCAGCGCAGGACGTCAGGAAGCTCTTCCCAAAGCAGGCCCCACGCTGGGCCTGAGGGAGTCTGGGGAGGCACCGCCCACCTCAGGCATCCCTTGTCCTCTAAAACTGCCGGCGCTCCCCCCAGCAGGGCTGAGACCCCGCTGGGAGGAAGCTCTGCTGCAGCCAGCCTGGAGGTGGTGCCCCCGGGTATGCCCAGCTCGGCTTCTAGGTCTGAAAGCGCAGTGCCCGCGGTCAGAGCGTTCAACCTTCTTTAAAAATAGCCTTGCCGGCAGCTACATGAAGACCTGAGCCCGTGAGCACGGCGGTTTCCCACCCAGCCCCGAGCCCGGGCTGAGCGGGCCTGGGTGTGCGCTCGCTTTTCCTGCGGGAGCATCCAGGTCTTTCTCTCCCCGCCCGCCTCTGACTTGCTTCAGACCCTTTACAATGTGCGACGCTAGTCCTATCTCCCTACATTTCTCTTGTTACTTGAACATGTCCTATGTTCCCTACTCTTTATAAAGTAGGTTAGCATCAAAAGCCATTTAAAAAAAAAGGTTGGGAAGTTAGACTTCCGGAGATTAAAAAGGTTCTGTGTGGCAAAAAGCATCACAAACAGCGAGCAGCAGGCTGGGAGCAAATACCTGCCACCTGTTATACTATTCGGGGAGGTGGCTCACACCCTGGGTGATTCTGCCCCGGGGGCACCCTGGGCAACGGCTGGGGATATTTTTTGGTAGGCACAACTGAGGTGGGGGTGGGCCACTGGCTTCTAGCGGGCAGAGGCCAGGGATGCTATTAAACACTCCACAACACACAGGACAAGCCCCACAACCACGAATTGCCCAGGCCAAAATGCCAATATTACTGAGGTTAATAAGGAAAATGGATTCAGAGCATCTACAGATTAGTAAAAAAAAGACACATCACTAATAGAGAAGGGGACCAGGGACACGAGCTGCTGCTAATCCATGCCAGCAACTCAAATGGCTGAGAAGCCATGAAAAGAAGTTCAAGTTCACAAGTAATGATGGAGATGCTACCTTCTATCAGTCACATGAGTACAATCCTGGGTGGGCAAAAATCAGCACAGTTAAAAATAAGAGGGAAAACGTCCTCTCACCCGCTGACCCAAGCGTGAGATGGTACAACCCTTTTGGAGAACCACACTTGGCAGTGCCTACCAAAATTTTTAACATGAATACCTCCCTCTGACTCAGAACTGTAGGAATCTGTTCTACAGAAATAATCCCGTGCAGGGAACTACGTGTGAGGCAAGCACACAACCTCCTGGCTGTAACAGTCATCGGAGACACTAGGTGTGATCTAACTACACATTAATAGAGGGCGGATAAGTAAATACCAATGTTCAGTAGGAAGCACAGGACTGCCAGCATTAAAGGTTTAATCATGAAAACCTCCATGAATCTGTTAAACTGTCTGTCCCCACGAGACCTAAAGACAGACCATTAGCTCAAAGCAGACAAAAGCCTGAATGAACCGAAGTGCAAGACTTGACTCTGAAAGACCAAAGCGCACACTGAAGTTTGCTCAAAATGTGATTCAAACACCTCTCTACATCTCTCTTCTTCCTTCCTCCTTTTTCTCTATCCTTCCCTCTCCCCCACCTTGCTCTGAGCCAGGCAGATATATTCCACCTTCTCCCTCACCCCACTTTCACGGCTGATGGGCTGGGTGGTAATTACCCCATCCTCATTATCCAAAGTGGGGTGTCAGCTCTGCCGGTAAGAAGTTACCTTCTTAAAACGGTGGTTTGCAAACCACGGCCTGCATGCCAAATTTGGCCCACCACTTGTTTGTAAAAATAAAGTTTTATTGGGACACAGCTAACCTCATTTGTTTATGTGTTGTCTGATGCTGCTTTTGCACTACCGTGACAGAGATGAGTAGTTGTGACAGAGACCATATGGCCCACAGAGCTGAAAATATTTGCCATCTGGCTCTTTACAGAAAAAGTGTGCCGACCTCTGCGCTAAAATATAAAAATTGAAAATTTCTAGGACAAAATCTTTGTGACACTGGGTGAGGCAAACATGCCTTGGCTACCATGCCAAAAGCCCAAACCATTTAAAACAAATGGATAAAAAGGGTATCACCAAAATTTAAAACTTTTGCTTTGCAAGACAGTGCCAGGAAAATTATAATCCATAGACTGAAAGAAAATATTTGCCAATCACAGATCTAAAAAAGGACTTGTATCCAGAACAATTGTTTTTAAGAAATATTCAAAACTTAACAGTAAGAAAGCAACCTGATTTTAGAAAAGGCAAAGAAATGTACAGCCACTGCACTGAAGAAAACACGTGAAAAGATGCTCAACCTTATTAGTTACTGCAGAAATGCAAATTAAACCACATCCGAATACCACTGTCCATCTAGAATGCAAACCGAGATATACGCTGCCTATTCAGAATGGTTAAAATAAAAGCAAACAGGAACAGAGACAATAGCAAGCTCCGGTGAGGATGTGGAGAAACCAGAACTGTCACACATTGCTGAGAGAAAGGTAAAAATGTCACAGCCACTTTGGAAAACATGGGCAGCTTCTTTTAGTTAAACATACACTTGCCATGTGACCTGAGCAACCCTTCTCCTAGTGACTGTGAAGAAAAATGAAAACCCGTGTTCATACAAAAACCAATACACAAATGTTTATATCTGCTTTATTCATAATTGCCCTCAAACTGTACCCACCCAAATGCCCTTCGAGCCACCAATGGGTAACAAACACCCTGGTACATCATGCAATGGCGTACTACTCAGCAATGAAAAGGTGCTACTGGTCATGCAACTTGAATGAATCCCAAATACATCTTGCAAAGGGAGAGAAACCAGATGCAGATGCTACATAGCACGTGATTCCGTTCCAGAAAAGGCAAAACCATGGGGACAGACCAGTGGTTGCCAGGGGCAGGGTCGACCACACGGGGGGAACTTAGGGAAACAGGCTGTCTCTCGGGTGAGGGAACTTTCTGCCAGCTCGATCATGGCGGGAGTCACGTGAGTCTATGCATTTGTCAAATCTCAAAGGAGTGTGCCAAAATGAGTGACTTAAAATATAAATTTAAAAAGATTTGCACAGTGACCCTTCTGCTTGGCAGCCCTGTTCCACAGCAATGCCAGCCCCTCCTCACACCCCCAGCAAGGCTGTGCGGTCCCCTGCAGGCCCAGTCCTCAGTCAACTGGCAATGACGAAGAGATCAGAGCCCGGAGCACGGCGTGTCGGTGCTCCAGGCCACTCCATCCCGCTCCCTGGTTCCCGTCCTCTCACCTTCCCAAATCTGAATTGCTAGCCCCGGGCCGGCCAGCTTCAGTCCCCACGAGCACCAACCACAACTGGGCCTTCACCTCTGCCTGACAATCGAGGCCTCCCAACGCATGGGCGCCTCTCAGCAAGCGCCTCCAACTGGACGTCCTGGAGACGCCAGGTCAACACGTCCAGCTCCAGCAAGCGGGCCCCGCCTCCACTCCACCCCTCGCCCCAGCTCCTCCCCAGCACGCTGCAGGCCCTCCCATTTCCAGGCCCTGGCTCTGGCTGCTGGCTCTCTCTTCAGGGATCATGTGTCCCTTCCAACACCTCCTCATTTATCTTTACAAAGTCCCCCAGGACACCAGGTGCCTCTGGTTCTGCGTGCCCACACACCACTGGTGTAAACCTTTGTTACCGCATGAATCACTCTGAGTCGTGTAATTTTTTGCTTCTCAGCCACATCATTGGCAAGGGCCTTGCGGTTGGCTAAGGCCACATCACTTGTCATCTAAGGGCCACACTGGGGATGTGTGGCACAGACACCCACAGTAGATGAGGGGAACAGACACTTGGGTCTCAGGCTCCTGGGGAATCCTTTGTACCTGGTGCATTCTTTTCTCTTTTTTTTTTATTTTGGTATCATTAATCTACAATTACATGAGGAACATTATGTATACTAGACTCTCCCCCCTTCACCTGGTACATTCTTTAGGTTAAAGTAGGAAGGCCAGAAGTTGTACTGACCGTCTATTATACATTCAGGCTCTTACTTTCTTAGGGTCATTCTGCCCCATCCCACCCCATCCCGCAGAATCAAAGGCAACTGCAGAGAGCAAAAGAGAAACTTAGCTGGGCAAAGCGATTCCTGCTGATTTGGAAACATTTCCAGTCACTGCGTAATCACGGAAAAGTCCTGTTCAGATGATCTGAGTGTTTTCG